GACCAAAGGCAGCAGTAGTAGAAGCTGAGTACATCGTACACCCAATGGGACTGGCCGGGGACTCTGGGGGGGTCGCGGTACGGGGGTGAGCCCCAGTCGTGGGCACGGTCTGGGGTGCTCCCTCCGATAGAGTCGGCCGTCAGGACCTGAGCGCCGCTGCTGTCGTAGCAACACTGCTGACCCGCCCCGTACCTGGGACTGCGGACGCAATGTTGAATCTCAGACGACTTGGATGGAATCTATCCGTTCATTTGACAATTTTCATGAAAAATGTGGAATTTCTCAAAAAGTTTAAATGGCTTCAATTGGGTGAGAAATACTTGAAACGGAGGTGATTTTGTGACATCTCTCCATTTATTGTGTCGTTTCAATTTGGAATTCATCAAAAAGTTGGAAGATTTGAATCAGTTGTGAAATGTTGTTTGAGGTGGTTTTGATCATTTTCTCCATTCGTTTAGGAGTTTAAGTCTGGAAATCATCAAATGATTTCAGTCGGTTAAGCAACACTAAATTACCTTACTTACCTGGCTTGTATGGCCCTCACACAGTGAATGCTACCTGGGTGGTACGTGCACACGCTGCCTTTCTCCATATCGCAGCCGTAATCCGTCTAAATATGAAACATGAGATCAAAAAATTCCTAAAAAAACAAAGCATTACAATCGATGTTGAGTCCATTTTTTTTACGAAGGGGCATGGGGGTCAAGAGCGCGATCGGTGAATATAATACAGAGACCATTTAAAACAATTTTGAAATTGTTTGACCACTCCCACTAGTTTTAAACACATTTCAAGGTATTAAAAGAAACTCTCTCCAGTCTTGATTAGTGCCTGTTGTCCCTTGCTTACTGTGAAGAAATTAACAAAAACAAGAGCAGCTCGCACAGTTCTCCAAATTGTCATGCTAATAGCATAACTGCCTACGTCCTTTGAACTTATTGTTACCAAATGACTAAAAGAAACCAATGTGCTTGTTAAAATGCCCAACCAAACCATTAACTTTCATCAAACTAAAGTGCTAGCTTCATGATAAATTAGCACAGATATTAGGGTCATTTTAAACTTTACAGCAACTGCTACTTAAAACACACGTAGCGGCAACACTTACACACAACAATACGCTCCGTCCGGAGGGAACGACTATTATCACTGCAGCTCAGTAGAGGATCGTCACTGCCTTTTCTTCTTGCTATTAATCAAGCTGAAGCTCTTCCAGTTGAGCTCAGTACTGCTCAGTATCTTTTGGGACAGTGTGGTACTATACTGAAGGGGCGCAACTTTCAATTCGGATTGGCCTATATCACTGTAAAAACCCGTAATAAATAAATTTGAGATGAAGCAGGGATGCCAATAATGAACCCTGATATCGTGGGACAATTATTTTGAATTTTATTCAAATGTTGGAATATCGTCCACTTACGTGGAATCTGCCCGTGTCAGCTCGGGCCTGTGCCAGGGTGCAGGGGCAGTCGATAATTTCGCTGAGAAAGTTGGGCAGGTCGTTTTCCAGCCGGTCCCACGCTAAACATTTGTCCAGCGCCCAAGCCTGAGAGTTCTCACGGAACTTCTGCTCCAGGTGCCAGGCCAGGGCGTGATCCTCTGTCCACGCCGCTTCCACATTCCTACGCCGGTAATGTACGCATTGGAACAGTGATGAGAAAATACAACAAAAGCTTGGCGATTTGTAATAACGGTAGCACGATAGCACAATTGCCTATGTCGTTTTTTAACATAATGTCCGTTTAAAATGGAAACATGCTTTCTAAAATTATGTGTTTCCATCATGCGGGGGTAGATCGTCAGTCATTCGAGTTATCGTAATCCGCTGAAGTCGTATCCAGGTAACTGGGCTCTTCATTTTTTTGTTGAATTTGTTGTGGATAGATAGATAGATGATAGAAAGCTAACTACCACAATAGATGGTTTGCAACGTAGCTAGCTAGTACGCTAGTTAGATAGAAATATAACTACCGCAATAGATAGCTCGCAACATAGCTAGCTACTAAGCTAGATAGCTAGCTAGCAGGATGAATAGATAGAGCGCAGAAAGACAGTAATAGTTCTATTGCACATAGAAACTTGAGCGCAATTAAAGATGTTATGATAATGGTCGAGGTTATGTGGTCACTTAATATAATAATATAGTCCTTTACTCTGCAGTCACATTTGAACAGTGAGGGCATATGGATCATACATTCTAATGTAACGTGTCCGTAATAGTGCATCATATTGATTGTGCGTCTTTATAAAATTGCTCCTTGTCGCTTAGTGTTTTGCGGCAGTCTGATTGTCCTGTCATATGTGCTTCATGTTCATAGAAAGAAAATAATAAGACGTATAAAAATTCAACGTACATCAGGCCGTTCGGGTTTGCATTGGAGCTGACCCGGAGTGCTCCGAGTTCCCAGCTTGAGAACTCGGGAGACGGTTGAGGCACAAAAGTGAAGCCGCCGTTGTTCGCACTGTCCGTAGCCAGAGAGTAAAGATACTTCCACTGGGCACGCCACTGGTCCGAATAAGCCCTTCCTGGAGGGGAGGCAATCGGAAACACATCTCATTATTAGACACTCCTCTACAAATACTAATTCAGTATAAGTTAAGAGCGACCCTGTATAATTGCAGATTTGCATATTCTTTTTGTTTTTTTTAGCAATCCTGCGTTATTTGCATGAGGTAATAGAAAAGTACAGTCTTGTCTTGTCGCCATCTTGTGGCATATATAGGCAATAACAAACTTTTTTTTAAGCAAGTTAGCGTTGTTTTGACTCTGATGCTATCACGTCTTCGCATGGCATTGTTAACAGTGTGAACTGAAAAAAAAGTTAAATTAGCTCTTGATAACAAAAATAATGAATAACCAGGAATAAGAGGGAACTTAAATTTGTTGTGAAAAATAGATTTTAGCAATAAGCTAACTCGAGTTTGCAGTGAAGCGGAAAAAAAACAAGGAGATTAAGGTGTTGTGATGCCCTCACAAGCGGGCAAGGAGAGCCCTTACTTTTAAATGAATGCCTTCCTCTGAGTTGTCCGAAAGAATAATTACTCATGTAAAGTGCAGTACCTGAAAATGTACTCAAGTAGTAGACGTACAAATAATGGGTTCGGCCCCAGCACTTGAATTAGACGTTGTCAAACCAGCTGTGTCCTCACCCGTCTCCCTGTAACCCCACAGCTCGATGTTGACCCTCGGGGCTCGGACCAGGGACGTGTTCCAGGTCATCTGCAGAGGGCCGCCCACTTGAGGTGTGCCGTAGTACTGCCACTTGGTGGAGTTCACCAAAACCGCCTTGAACTTGGAGTCCAACTTGCCAGTATGCACTGCGCAAAACATTGAAAAGAGAGACGCTAGCACAGAGTGCAACATTCGTTTTTCACTCAAATATTAAAATGGCCCCAAAAAAATGATGAAGTATCAAAAGTCAAATTTTTCCATCACATCTCAACTTTTGACACCGGAATGTTGTGGGGTACCTGCGAGCCAGGAGCCCACTCTGTTGAACGTGATGCCGTAATTGGAGGAGATTTCAACAGAAACCCAGCCGGTTTGATAGAGCAGGGGCGAGATGCAGTGGCCTCGGTCACTGTCGTCCACGTAACCCTCCGTCCTGATGTCATTATTGAACCTGAAGGAAAAACAAATGCCACATTTTCACTTCGGGGTCTGCTCACTTTTGTTGCCAGTGGTTCAGAACATTAATGACGACATGTGAAGCTACGTGTGTGTGTGTGTGTGTGTGTGTGTGTGTGTGTGTGTGTGTGTGTGTGTGTGTGTGTGTGTGTGTGTGTGTAAGTGAGACATCACAACTCCATTTATGTTCTTGTCGTGTATGACTCCTAACACAAAAGAAAAAAAAATGACATCCATATGAAGAAGGAAAGTCATACCTGCACACAATTTGAGAACTTTGGTTAAAAGTCACATGGAGCAGGAGGAAATCGGTCCCGCCCAAAATGGATCCCGATTGTGGGGAGAATTCCACGCAGAATTCCTTGTAGTCAGGACAGCAGCTCTCCAAAGACGCACACGTCGGGTGGCACGAACAGGAGCTCAACGATTGCCCGCATTCGCCCTCGCACGACTCACCTCAACCACGGAAATAAATTTTAGTGTATAGTCGATATAAATGAATATTTAAAGTTTAAAAAAAATCTTCAAGGCACTTACTTAATGTCCCGCTGATGCCTGAGAGGAGAAGAATTAAGGTGACAGCCGTGCATGTTTCCATCATCTTCGCTTTGTGTGAGCTGCAAAGTCGTGGCTCACACTAAACCTTTGCTCGCCCACTCCGGACGATATGCAATCATCAACTAAACCTCGTCATGATAATTTCATTGAGGCTCAATAGAGTGTGGGGTTGTTGCTGGACTTTGGACCTGTTTTATTTTCACTCTTCACAGTCCGGAACAAAAAAAACTGACAAAAGACATTGGCACTGGCGTGTTTTACTGCTCAAATGACCACCTTTGACACCACTCAAAGTTTTATTTGGGCTTTAAATAAGGCGGAGATGTACATATTGTGTGGCCGTGGTGACAAAGAAACTAATTCATGACATAACAAATAAGTATTTTAAATGGAGTAAGAAATTAAACCCCGGCTCGTTTTTGATGAAGCCTTAGGCACGTTTTTTTTTTAGGTGGTACTTCATCTAAAAAGTCAGAGAACCTTCAACGGGGGGACATGTAAAGCCAGCAAACATCCACTAGGAGGCAGCAGTCAACCTTCCGTGATTACCAAATAATCTCTTTACACACCTGGTTTTCTTGCCATCTTTATTTTAATGTCATAAACATAGTGACGATAATTTCCATTACAACGTAGACAGTTCTGTTTCTACGTGATTATTTTGTATGCATGTGTATCTTCTGGGGATTAACTACTTGGTCCTTGAGTAAAATATTGGCATAGTAACAGTTTATGCTGTTATGTGACGTCATCAAGTCGCCCAAAAAAAAGTCAATTTGAGCTTCTTTTTTTTTTAGCTTCTTTTTTTTTTTGGAGCGAGTGTGGCAGTGAGTAAAGTTTGTCGACAGGGGGCGACGTCGTCCCAACTCATCTGGATTTGGTGCTTGTGGATTTCTAAAGGGGACATTGAATGAAAGGTGCGTTTGATTGGTGCTTTTTTCCGAACAGAGAGGTCATTTAGGAAAAAAATAAATAAATAATTACCACAGTCAAATGTCCATTTTTGGCCCTGTAGACCACCGACTCCTGACCGCTCCTGAAATCAACGACGCCTTCTCTGCCAGGCTGGATGTCGAATCGCACACTGGACATGACAGATGCATGTTTCATTCCAAATGAGACTGGATTAGGATTCCAGTAAAACCCCGCTAGGACCCGCTACGGCACCGTTTTGTCGTACTAACACACCAACATTTACCTATGCGCTGCTGATGCGTGTGTTTAAGTAACAGTTGTTTGGAATTATCGTACTAGCTATGCTAATTTCCCGTAGGCCGGATCACGTTAGCCTCGGCGGTTCACTGTATTAGAGTTTTGTTGAGACCACACAGACGTGCCGCCCTGCGTACCTGTCCTGGACCACCTGGATAAAGTCGCACTTGTCGACAATGGCGCTCAGCTTGGTCAAGGCCTCAAAAAGGAAGTCGCATTCCAAGACAAGATCGCCCTGCGACAAAAAATATTAGCACGCATGAGGAGGTGTTTACAGTTACAGTTATTCAGTTTTACATTGGAGGCCTTTGCCAAGCAGAGTAAACAGGAAGTCGCAATGGGTCTCGTGTTATTGGTCCTTTTCCATTAATTGTATTATTTCCATTTTTTTTGTATATTTTTCCCAAGTTTCCAGAGGACACAAATGAGGGAATTTGTCCAAACAGGTCGCTACAAACCAAAATGGTAGTTTTCTTGTTCACTTTCATGGAATGGGTCCTTGATACATTTTGTTTACTTTCGGTTCTGATGGACACATCCGAGCAATTTCATGTTGCTATCTGAAATTGGAGTTGGGAGGCAGTTTTTTTCTCACTTTTCAGAGGGCCCAAAAAAGGCTACTTCAAACAAAAATGGCTGACTTCCTATTCTATTCCGGGCATAGGTCCTTGGGACTTTTTTTGTGCGTCCCATTCTGATAGACACGTCCACCAAATTTCATCTTGAACCAGTGAAACTGGTGACAACTTTCCTGGGGGGGACACTAAGGAGTGAATTTACCAGAGCAGATCATTTCAAGCCAAATTGGCAGACTTCCTGTTCACTTCATGTGGACGTCTTTTTTTGTGTGTCCTGTTATAGACATGAACACCAAATTTCATGTTGATTGGTGAAAATAGTGCTGGGGGGGCAATTTTTTTTCTGACTTTTCATGGCTCACTATTGAATTATTAATTTTTTTATTTTTTTAGCATGGCCACTTTAAACCAAAATGGGCGTCTTCCTGGTCAGTTTAGGCAATGAGCCCTTGAGATTTTTTCGGGAGTCCTTTTATGATACCATATTGCAGACACGAGCACTATCCGCTACCGATATCAATTCTGATGGATGGATGGATGTGAGGTGAGAGTTGATCAATGGATACTATTGTTCTTTGGGTTCTTTTTTTTTTTTTTTTTTGTCTGATATCGGACCGATATCCGATTACAATATCAGATCGGAACATCCCTAGAAATTGGTATCTGCTATTAATTTTTTCCAAATTTCCTGGGCAAAATAATGAGAAGCTCAGAACAAGTAAGACTGTTTTTTTCTGAAAAATCAAGTCCATTCCCAGCTGTACCTTCTGCTTGACGTCATCGCAGGTGACATGGAGAATCAGGAAGTTGTCACTCAGGTTGCTCACAGAAACTCCTGTAGCCAAAAACACAGACAGCGGCACATTGAGACGTTGCCAATCTGTGTTGTGATTCCTTAACTCGTCTCCGGTTGAGGTTGACCTTTCAGCGAGCCATAACGGATCCTCTGCTTGATCTTGGCCTCGTCCAGCAGATAGGCGGCGTCTCGGGTGAAGACGAGCTGCCGAGGACGAGGGCGAAAGCCGTTGCGGTCGTACTTCACCACCGGGACGCTATACTGCCAGCGGGAAAATGCAGAAACTTGATTCAAATCACCCTGCTTTACAGTACAATGGCAATAATCTGAAAAATGAATCCCGCAAATGTTAGTAGTTTACCTTGACATTCTCATGTTTAATCATCCGCAACGCTTTCATATTCATGTCTCCGATACCTGGATTCATTGAAGGTAAAAGCCAATGAGTGATTTCATCAATAAAATGTAAGAATTGGGAAATAAATATAAAATGTAAACAATGCACTTCCTGTGCTTAAATAATTGTAGAATAAAACCATAACAAAACAAATTTGAATAATTAAAAAAAAAATCAAATTGACAAAAAAAATGTACCGCTAGCCAAAGAAAGCATAAAAAAAAAACTGTTAAAAAATAGAATAAATATATCATCAAATAAAAGAGCAATTGTCAGCACAATTTTCAGAATAATTTGAAATGCTAAATACGAAAACACGTTGAACTTGCCTATCCTGGTGTCGAGGAAGGGTGTGCGCACACTGAGCGGGTAGCTCTCTTTTTTCCCTTTGAACATGAAACTGGTCTGCACTTTCAACAGAAGCTGCAAACAAGCAGAAGTTATGAAATATCACCGCCGCTTGCATGTGTGTGCATGTGTGTATGCGTGTGTGTATGCGTGTGTGTGTGTAACACACTAGTGCCTTCCGCTCCTCAGTAATTCCTTGCACGTATTTGCGCACCATGTGGCGAATGAAGAGTTGCTTCAGGAACAGTGACGTCTGCAAAGTAGGATGGGTAAGGGAAAAAAAAATTCAGTTTTGAAAGTTATCTAAATACTCTTGGATGCACACAAATGTTCCCTAAAAATAACCCACATACTGTTAAATCTCCTGAAAAAATGCATAAAAGTTCCCAAAAATATCCGAAATCTACTGAAACACTCCCTAAGAGTGATCTAAATACTCCTAGATGTACTCGCATATACTCTAAATTACCTAAATGCCCTTTAATGTGCAAAAAAAAAAATGTAAATCTACTGAAATAATCCCAAAAAGTAATTAAAATACTCTTAAATCTACTGAAATGCTCCCTAAAAGTAATTTAGTACTCATAGATCTCACGAAATATTTAAGTTACCTAAAAACTCTAAAATCTACATGGGGCTGAAATAATCCCAAAAAGTAATTAAAATACTCTTAGATGTACTTCAAAGTTAAATACTCTTAAATCTACTGAAATACTCCCTAAAAGTAATTTAGTACTCTAAAATCTACATGGGGGGAAAAAAAGTTCAATACAACCAAATTTACTTGAAAAATATTCTGTTCTGGATTTTTAAAAAGTCAAAAACAATTCAAAAACAAAAAAAATTTTGCATAATTTGAAAATTAAAATTTGCGTGATTTCGGCACACGGGCAACGGCTCGTCAAAATTCCTGGCTCAATACAACCAAATTTACTTGAAAAATATTCTGTACTGGATTTTTAAAAAGTCTAAAACATTTTGCATGATTTGAAAATTTAAATTTGCGTGATTTCAGGGAAAGGGAAACGGCTCGTCAAACTTCCTGGCAGACCTCTTTCAAGATGGGCGGGGGGGTGAGCCACAAGTCCTTGTGCAGAAGCGTTTTGGGGAGGTTTTCCCTCAGGCGGGTCAGGTAGCTGTGCCGCACGTAGGACAGGTACTCTCGGTTGTCGGCGCCGCTCGGCTCGTTTCGGGTCATGAAGCCTTTGATGAACCTGCGGCGCACGATGACAACACAAACGAGTCACGTCAGTCGGCATCCTTGGTGGGTGATTAAAGGAGAACCCCCCCCCCAAATAGAAAAATAAGAATGGAAAATTAAAAAACAAACAAACAAAAAGAAAGAAAATTACAAAATCCGGGCCTGAATGAAAATAGTGAAAATCAGCACCCATTGTGAAATCTATCCATAGATTTGCTTTTTTTGTCCCCCAACATTTTTAAAAATAGATTTCAATCTTATATTTCATTCATTTATATTTTAATTCTGCCTTTTTGTGTCCGTTTTATCATAAACCTCAACTGAGAGTCACAATAAAACTGCTTGAAGCAAGCACACTGGGTCTCTTATTTCGAAAAACGGAATCAAGAGGGTCTTCTTTTCACCTAAGTCAAGCTATACGATTCTTGACAGCGACAAAGGGATGGAGGGGAGGGGTGACTGTACCTCTTGATGATCGCGACAGCCCATTCCCTCTTTTCTCGCTCCTTTCTGGCCATCAGGCCTCGCCAGCAGTTCTCGATCTTGGTGGCTGCGGCGCACGCGAGTCACTTGTAGCATTTTGTCATCGCGGTGTCAAAGAATAAGACCGAAAAATACAAACCAGCTTCTTTCTGCTTCTGGTAGTCGCCTTTCACTCTGTAGCCTTTGTACTTGGCCTGAATTTTTGTCGCTGCAACACACGCACAGGCACACGTGTGTCAATTTTGGGCATTACGGAAAGAGCCCTCAAAAGATGGAGTCAGGTTCCATTACAGGATGTCTTTTGCAATTCATAATTTCTGTGCCAGGAAAAAAAAAAAGTGGATATCACCAAACGTTGACTATTTTCCACTTTGTCTCACCCAGCTTATGTTTGCAAACTTGAAAGGCGTCTTCGGTGGCAAACAGAGTTCTTGGATGGCGAATGAAGATCTTGGTCCTTGAGGCGAGCAAAGGTGACAAAGAATGACACTCGGATCGAGTTCCCAAAGGAGACTTTGATGGGAATTTTTCCTACCGGCCCATCTTGTACTCGTCGGGTTGGTAGCCCAGATGCTTGATGAGCACTTGCACACCTTCTGCCGCCGTGCCTTTCCAGTTGGGCCACGTGTCCGGACAAAGAGGCTTGTACCTGACGATGGAAGCGGATGACAAAATACTGTAAGAGTTGACAGAACCTTTTACGAAACCCTTTTTTTTTTTTTTTTTTTTAATTTAAACCTTGTACATCGTATTGCTGTCTTGATGCTATTGCGCATCAACACAGCACCACCACAGACAGAAATGAATCTGCACCGAACTTACGTTGGAGGTGTCAAAGTCAAGGCCCGGGGGCCAGATCTGGCCCGCCACGTCATTTTAAGTGGCCCGCGAAAGCAAATCAAGCATGTCAACTTCCACGATGCTTGCTAAAGGCTGAACCCAAATTTCAAACTGCCATGTCTAATCCCTAACAACAATATTTAAACAAGCCATTATTCTTGACTTCTGATTTAAAAAAAAAAGTTATTCATCAAGTTGTTGTTCACTGTGGAGGTGGTTAAACATTTACAGTATGTAATTTTACAAAATTCATAGTCATAACGGCCCCTCCGAGGGGAAAACGTAACGACAATGTGGCCTGCAACAAAAATGAGTTTGACCCCCCTGCACTACAGCGATCCATTTTTTTTTTTTTTTTTTAATTCAACAAGCTAGCACCAAATGTATCCAACCTAATAACTGTCACTCATTACTGTCTAAACGTATTTAGACTTTTGACATAATGCTGCACGGCTCCAGCGGACTTTGGGGGAAGAGGTGGTGGAGTTTGACAACACTTCTTAGAATTCAACCAAGTGAACTGACTTGGTCTCAAGTAATTTGCAACATTTATGAGAGTGTGCAATAATTTTAGATGATGCGGGGGCAGACCAATAGCATCGATTGAGGGAAGAAAAAAAACAGTGAAATTGACCATATTTGGACACACGGGGTTTCCGCCCGAAAGAAACATCATCACATGACTCACTCCCACTTCTGCGCTTACCTCTGGAGGAATATCTCGTATTTGCGACGGTAGGCGAAGCCCGCGCGCCGTACCCTCAAGTGTTCCATCAGACCCAAGTACTTCACCTGATGTCTCACCAGGACATCATCGAAGCGTCCTATCGGGAGGCGCGGCGGCTCGGTGAATTCGGTCGTTTTGTTAATGTTCGCGCGGCTGCAGCTTAATCATTTTAAGTGACTGAAACGTGAAATTTGAGATTTGATTTATGGTTGCGAAGAAAAGTGCTCACCTGGCTCTTTGGCTTCATTGGGTTTGATGCATCGGACATACCATGGCTCTTTAGTCCCCAGGATCTCTATCAAGCCCACCAGGCTGCTTTTAAACTGCGTCACTACCTGCACCAATAAAATAGCTCGATAAGGCAAAAAAAAAAAAAAAAACCCCCAAAGCAACAAAAACAAAAACGAACAGTCGTAAAATTTACAGTTTCAGGCCTCTTCTTTTGGTCCGGCTCACTCGGAGGGAAGCAGTGTTTGATGATTAAATTTTTGGACTGTTGCATTACCTTGAGTGGAAAAAAAAAAAAAATCTGGATTTGAAAACAAAAGCCGACATTGGCCTCGCGGCAGAGGGGGAGGGATGAGAAGTGGCTAAATTTACACGAGCGAGGGTGTGGCCCCTTCACAACTGACACGTGGTCACAAAATCGGTGTCGGACAACGTTACCTCTTTTCCATTTCTGTACAGCAGGTCGTTGTTTTTGTCCAGAAATCCTGAAAATTGATCAGAGGTAAGAAATGAAAAGTTACAAAGTGGACTATGATTATTATTATTTTATTTATTTATTTATTTTTTTTTTTGAGCTGATGCCAATTCTGATGTTTGGCAGAATGCATTTCTGAATTTACAAAAAATAATAATAATACATGAGGAATAAAATAACTTCTTTTTTTTGGGGGGGGGGGGGTTCCTTAACACTTCCAGCAATGAATATATGAACACAGGCAGAGCATAGAGAGGAAAGTCTGCAATAATTTTGTTTTCCAATTTATTAATTTTTTCACTTGGGGTTGAGTGTCATTATCTTGGTCTTTTGTTGAAATGTGTTTGAAAAAAAAAAGCTATAGGGGAAAAAAAATCTGCCCTCAAACACAACAGTGGACCCTTGATTAGGCACAGCAGATTTCGCACCTACGACACTGTACGTAACTTCTCCAGCGTAGTGCAAGAGGCGGAAGTCTCCCCTCGCCAGACTTTTCCTCGTTTTCTGGTCTGCCAGTTTGTGTCTGCCGAAGATAATTGAGGGTTAATCGGCAAATTTTGCCTTTTCACTCCCGATCCGTGTAATCCTCGGAAAGGAAGAGCTTTCTTTACGTGACAAAATGAGGATGGCCGCCGATTATTTCCTCCATTTTTTCCAAAAGAGTGAAGTCCGTGGCTTCTCCGGGACGTAAACATTCCTCATCCTTAACACAAGGAGACAAGCATTAGAAATGCTTTTGGAATCAAATCTTCATCCTCATCTTCACCAATAATGAGATGATCCCTCTGTGTTTCTCCTCCACGAGGTCGCAGATGATCTTATTGTTGAAATATGGCACGGGCTCCCACTGCGTATTCAAAACAAGAAGGAGGATGTCACTCGGGTTGTCCGGAGAGCTGCCGTTGCAATCAAGCGCCGAGACGGACCTCGACGCCTTCCATCTCGTACTCAGCCTGCTCCGACTTGAGGGTGAGCTGGATGAAAAGCTGCTGTAGCTTCTCGTTGCAGTAGTTGATGCAAAACTGTTCAAAACTTGAAGAAAGAAAAAAAAAACATTTTCAGGCCGAATTTTCAGTCATGTAGTGTCTCAGTCTGAACACTAGGGGCGCTATATAAAAGGCAGTCATACATGTATATTAAGATGAGACGAAGAAGAACACCAACAGTGTTACAGTATCGGAGCATTTTTTTTCATGAACCAATGAAGTGCAGTAACGTGCTGTCTTTTTTTTTTATTTTATTAAAATACTTGTTTATAGATAAGAAAATGTCTATAACACCCACCCTCCCTCTCCCCCCCCCCCCCCAAAAAAAATTTGAAGTGATCTCACCTGTTGACGGTGAACACCTCAAATCCATAAATGTCCAAAAGACCAATGACGGTCTTTCTGGAGGAATCCTAGAAATGTTGTCCATCATTTAAATGATTAACATGTCATCGGATGAGATGTATTTCGAGAGAACTTTTAGGCTGCTCTTTGTTGCTCACCACGTTAGCTAATGACTCATTGATCTTGTTGACCAGCCAGTTGAAAGTGCGCCCGTAGACAGCTTTGGCAAGGGCATCCCTGGCATATACAGCGTGGTCCACCGAGAAGGGACTGAATACCTTCCCCCAACAAGAGAAATGTCATCAAAATAACACCAATTAGGCGATGATTACCTCACCAACAGTGTCAATCAAAAGTGAACATTATGATTTTTGTCAGTGTAGATTTTCTCCCGTGTTAGACCTCGTGAGATTGTTTCAGACGTAGTCACCTCCTCTGTTTTGGCTTCAATCTTGCGGTGGGTTAAGCCCTGTTGTAACACCTGAGCGGGAATCCCAAGCAACTGGAGGACAAACACGCCATTACAAGTATTTATTATTCGCCCGGCTAGAAATGAATGTGTTTTGGTTTCGCGTCGAACCTTGGACAGCCAGTGCATTTCCTGGCTGTTGTGGAGAGCGGCGTATCCTCGGGTGTCCGCCTCAAACTTCAGGTTGCCCAAGTGGAGCACGCTGGCGACGATTCCAAACAGGTGCTGCAGGTTCAGATCCGGAGAGCACACCCGGGACAAAAAAAAAAAAAAAAAAACATGAGCGCATCGACTTGAATCACTCCAATTTAAAACGTACCGTCCTTACATCGGAAGTGTATTCAAAAAATGAGAATGCACACACTTAATCTAGATTTTTTTTTTTCCCCTACCTCAACGTCACTCTCGCTGAAGTCCACGACCGAGAGAGCTTTGCGCACCGTCCTCCAGTCGCTTCTGTCGTTGACGGAGCTAACTTTGGCACAGTCACCCTGTCGGGAGATGCGCAGTTGACGAGTTACTTGTGGTTTTTCGCCAGTCGCAGCACAGCTCGGTGCCCCGCAAAGAGTTTCCTGCCGTCCCTGACCTGAACCAGGTAGTTGTAATGTTGGCAGTCCCTCCGCAGGCCCAGCCAGCGTAGCAGATCCTCATCCCCGCCGTCCACCAGCTGGTAGAAGATGTGAAAGTTTCGCTCGCCGTGGTTCTGATGGACCACGCGTGACTTCTCCAACAGGTAGCTGAGGATGTGGCCGCCTACCGCCCCGCCCTGGAACACCAAACGTCTCTCAATTCACGATCCCAGTGAGCATTCGTTATAATCAGTCCTGTGAGGATTTGTTATGCGCTCTATTTGTACGTGCAGCTGATCCATCTAAAATTAGCGATTAGTCGGTGTTTGAAGGGCTGCTATTGCGGAAACGAATCGATGCGAATTTCCCTTACCTTGTTGACAACAAGGTAAGGGAAGCATGAAGCATGAAGCTAACAAATAAAGCGTAAATTTGTTTGTAAATATTTGTTTGATTTTGTTTTATAGTCAACTTAACCATTGACAAAAAAAAAACTTGCGTCTTATTTGTAAAACTGCAAGCGCAGTTTCATTTGATCTGTACCTGGTTAAAAAGCTAGGATTTTTTTTTTTTTTTAATATAGTATCTTCATAGTTATTTTGTCTATTTCATTAATGGGCATCACTATTTTGAGCTGCACCGCGGATATGCTGAAAGAAAATTGTATTTACTTGCTTGGTTTTGAACCATTGTTGCACGGAAGCTATCAAGTTGGGATGCTTTTATTCAAAAAAAATTGTTTTTAATTGTAATTGAGACCTTTCGGATGCTCTTTTTTTGGATGCAGACTCAGTCGCGGCAGATGCTCAAAATCAATTGACTCGGGCTCAGGTACAAAGAATGTGATTGGGACATCCTTTGCTGAAATGTGTTTGAAGTATTATTTTGAGGTGCTTGGAGTCTACCTGGTGGTCAAACTGGATGTCCATGTACTTCCCAAAACGGCTGGAGTTGTCGTTCTTCAGGGTTTTGGCATTTCCGAAAGCCTGAATGACAACAAACCGAGCTCATTTTGAGGGGGGGGAAAAAAAATGAAACTCAGGAAGGAGAATCACAACTCCAGTCACTGACCTCCAGAACGGGGTTGGACAGCAGCAGCCTGTCTCTGACATTATTCAGTATTTTGGTACTGGGACAGCTGACGGCGTAAAAATGAAGAATTTTCTTGCAGGCCTCCGTCTTGCCTGCGCCGCTCTCGCCCGAGATCAGGATGAAGTGGTTGTTGAACTCCGACATCATGGTGCGGAACACGTTGTCGGCCAAGGCGTAGCTAAGCAGCACGTAGACGGGATGTTGTTGGGGCATCTCAGGACGTCGTACCTAATATTGTGGCTTTTGCGCATTGAAAAGAGAGCAGCTGTCCATCTTACATGTGAGGCGGGAGCTCAAAGAAGTTGACGCCCATGTAGGTGTCCATTTGCTTCTTGCTGTAGATGTCCAACTCCTTATACGGGTTGAGCGAGACCAGCAGAGTCCCGATATAGGTCTGCGGAGACAGCGGGTCACGGTCATCACCTCTTGGATCTCGTAGTTCATTAAACGCGAGTCACATTGAGAAAGGTGCCCTCTGTGTGAGCAATGTTGTCCTGCTCAAGAGCAATAAGTTTGCTAAATCACTTTTTGAAGGACCGCCCCCCCCCCCGCCCCGAGGACAGCGTTGACCCTTGCAGGGTTTGCCGTTTCAGCAAGACCAGTTACCTGATTTAGCAGCAAGGTAAACGTGGCATGTTGGCAGCAAGGACAAAGTGGAAACTAGCATTCTACTTTTGAATTGTCACCACAAAAATTCCAAATGAAAACTTTACACAAGAAATTAGCATGTCACATCAGCGATCATTTAACTTCATTTTACATGTGTGCTACAATCATAACTGTTATGATTGGAGCCGCGCAGCATTATGTGGCCGCAAGATTTAAAAGTCTGGGTGTTTGTTTGTTTGTTTGTTTTTTTGACGATTGAAAGAGAAAATGTTAAGTTAGTTTCATGGGAGTAAACCTGTTTATTAAAATTCATCGCTGTAATGTTTTCGGACAGAAGGAACTAGTTAGCCATGAAGGTAAATTTGCACTCAGACAGCTTAGTCAGCTCGTCGTGTCATTTATTGCCTCACTTGTGAATCCAAGACCTTTGAAAAAAATAACGTTTAGGTAGATGATATAACCGCTGTCGTTTGCTTTTGTGAAGAGTTCAACAAAATCACTGAAAGAGGCTGCCAGGAACTGTAAGAAGGAAGCAACTCACATAAATGAGATTCTCATGGAAGCGTTTCCTCAGGTTGTCCAGGAAGGCGGTCTCGCTGGTGTAGGCGTCCAACAGAACAAAATCCTGGATCCCCACACGGTCCCGGGCGGTAAGGGAGGCCTCCATGTTCCTCAGAATGCGGTTGCAACGCTCCTCCAGGCTCTGAGCCATTCAAGAAAATATTTTGGACAAAGAGAGGAAAAGTACACGGACCTCATGTCAAGGATATGGATTAAAATGCTCAGATAGCTTTCCAGAAATGCGATCGTATATCTGCTCCTTATCTGTCAGCCTGTCTTATTTTTGTGACTTCCAGTCGAAATCAGCTGCTGGGACCTTGGTCGCATCCTCTCTGCTCGCCATGACTCAATGTTCAGACAAAGCTATCTAATCGGGTCCATTCCCATCCCGCTCATGGTAAGGCGTGAGTCGAAGTGTTTTGTTTCTATTTCTATTTGTATTTAAAATGCGAATGCCTTTTTATAGGAATAAAAGTGAGTCGTATTTCTAATTGTTTTTATTCGCCTCCACGCCTTTCTGTCGAAATGCGTCTTAATGTGAAACCGGTCTGTGGTGCAAAAAAAATAAAAATGTTTTGGACCATTGTACTGTGCTAAAAAAAAAATTTGACATTGACCTGACTTTGATCACATTCCAGCATTGTCAATTACAAAAAGCTTTAATGCTTTAGTAGTTAAACTCCGAATATGATGTAAACTGATCCATGAACGTAAAAGCAAGGTAAACAACCCTTATTTTTTGTCATATCATTGTACACACAATAATTATACATTCACGAGGTTTCACCGTTGAGGTCAACCATGATTGCAACATTGCCCGCGATGAAAAACAGTTCTATTGAAAATGGCTTTGATTTAAGTAACGCATATCACCGCAAAATTTATCAAGTCTAGATTGGGGGGGACAACACGCTTGACCGACAGCGATGCACTTTAATTACAAGGCTACAAAGGGCTGAATCGTATTACGTTGCGGTCGTTTGGCTCTCCTCTCCACGCTCACCGATCAGTCAGCTGTCGCGCCAACTGCATCTCCTTCGACTCGCATTGATCGAACACTCCAAAAACAATCAGTCAGAAGTCTGACTCGAAAAAGAAAGTCACCTACTGTACGCCGAAGGCCCCTGATGCGCCTCTGTGCCAAATTAAATGTGATTCAGCTCAATGGGAGGACAGCAATAGCGTGGGAGGAAACAACCCCACAGATTACACTTTCGACTTCAATAGGAAACCATCAATATGGACGTCGACGTGCAAGAGAGGACGCAAAAACATTCCTCGAGAGCCTGAGCTTCAACTCTAACTTAAAATGTCCTTTTGACTCCATTGGTGTAAAAATCCTGACCTGCCATTCCACTCCAGTCCAGTAGGTGGTCTTAATACATGTACGGAGCGAGAAGAGGCACAAAGGAAAACTTTGAAAAATGTGTTTTGATCAAACGTTATATTGTGGCTTTTCACCTATCGTGAATCAATTCTGGAATGTAGAAAAGCGCAATACGAGTGAAAGCCCATTGGCCATGTTTTAGATGTTTCCCTCTTCTAACTGATCCAAATGATCCAGCTCATCGGCAAGCTCTGCAGGAGCCTGGTGACGATCCTGATCATGACAACCCTTTTCTGCAGGCATCCAAAATAAACAAGAGTAAACATCAATTTTTGATGTCAGCGGAAGAAGAGGAAAGTCTAACTGACCCAGAGGCCCCTCCATTGTCTTGGCAGTCCTTCCAGTACGGTGAGGGATCCTGTTACGCGCACCTATCGCACGGGACAACATGCGAGGGGGGACGTCAGGGGGCTCCGCAGACGTTGAAGGAAACCTGACACAGTGCTACATTAGCCCCTTGTTGCTATGATTTACACTCCAAACACACTGCAGGGGGTCCTCGGTTTAGGACGGTCGTGACTTAGGGGGTTTCAAGGTTCCAAAGGATGGAAAATGCGGCACGAGAAGTCATGCTCAGTTACTACCGAGAAGTGTTGTTCATAAAAACGTTTTTTGCGGGGAGGAGTAACAACTTTTATATCCAAGATTAGGAAAAGTTTGTCTCGTTACCTCCTTCCCTTCCAAAGCCATGTGAGTCATGGTTGAATCGGTCTTGTAGGTTGAACACTGGTAAGTCCAAATGCTCTTCTACTCCAATGCTGGACTGCTCCTCATTCAGATCAAAATCCTCAGTAGCAATTCTAGGAGCCCCGAGGTACACCCATGGTGGAACTCCAGCAGGTCAACAGGGATATATGTCAGAGTTCATCTCCTATCGCTGGTGTCTTCTCTCCAGCCACCAACAGTGAGGACGAGGAGGAGGCTAGGACTGCTCCTTCCTAACTCGTCGCCAATGACTTGTGTGGGTCTCGAAGGCCCAGCGGGAATACTTAAACATTCATGGGGCTCAGGCAGCAAACGGTCTTTCTGCGCTTCCATGTGTGTGTGTTATACTGTAATACAAAGACGGAGAAACCCTATCCTTCCAGGGTCCCATCCTTAGCGGGCTCAGCCATAAAATTAAAGCACAGGTATTTGATTACTGATCTTTGATTAGACGGATGGATTTCAAACTGATTACGAACGGCACTCGAGCCCCGTGATGTCATGTATAGAAAGAATAATTGCACTGTACTGGAGAGTGAAATCTCGTGTGTCGTCAGAAGTCTCTCCCAATTTGTGGAAATCGGCTATATAGAGACCTTTTAACACTCCCTTAGTCCCATATTGACCACAGTCTCATTTACTCTAATTACACTTATGGGCATATTGGCATTTACATCAGATACAATGACACAAGAAAGTGGCAAAAGATTGAAATGAATATGATAATACACACAAGGCTACTCCCTTAAAACATAGTGGTAACATCTTTCACCGTAGTCCATACAAAGCAACAACTGTCAATCAACAACAGCAATGTTACGTTTTCTAATCATATCCTACCTTTGTGTCCATGCCGGAGCAAATGAGAGATGCTCTGCTTTGGCTTCTTCTGCTCTTTTGGTGAGTTCAAACCAGCTGAAGGTGGCTGTATATATACTGAATTGTATAATCCATCTTTATTTATGAGCGTCCCACCAGCTTTTTTTTTCATTTAAAACATGACACCCGTAACATAGCCGTAAATACTCTGGCCCAGATTTGCAACTCAGCTTGTTCGGCCTTTATTGCTGATAATGCTGTTTTGACCAGAATATATTGCATTGTGTGAGCATGGCTATCATAACAATGTTTCTGTGGAATCTAAAATTTATCAAGTGGCCCAGAAATATACCATGTCCACGTAAACACGACTCAGAAAAGGTTTGGGATGTATCACAATTGCAGGTGACCTTAGTTTGACCTTCTCGAAACTTTTGAATGCATCGTTCAATGTTTCAGCAAACCTTCCTTCGTTTTTATGTTTTGTTCACATAAATAAAAATATCCTACCTCATAAGCATTTCAAACATTTCATCTAATAACGTCATGCATAGATAACCGCATATCTTCACACAGTCTTTACAAATACATTTCAATTTCAATAGCTATATTAATGTAATCAATAATGACAGCTAAATATAAGTTTATAATCTTGCACATTACTATACGTCTTGCCATTCACGGTCTGTTTCTCCATTGTCCAGTGACGTCAGAGTGAAGCCGGTTGCGGAGTTCTCAACTAGGACCTCCCAGTTTAAAGGGGCGTTCCAATGTTCCTGTACTTTTCCCAGTCACAGGGCGGAAAACTTCCCATCTTCCTCGAATGCAAGAGTCACCGAGGTACAAATGTTACGATAAATTTAATTCTCCTTTTACACGGTTGTCGTTTGAATGAAACAATCAAATAAATACGTTTTTACATCCATTGTCGCTTTTACTTCCGGGTACTTATAACCGCGCCCTCATTTTCAGGTACCCTCATTGTTGTCTTTTCTCGGTCGACCGGGTTCGTTTCAGAAAAGTGGGTCGGTCGCAAACTCCACCGCCACGTGCCACTGCAAATGTTTGTCGTGTGTCGTCCGTCTTGTCAACGCCGACAAAATGAGCAAGTGGAACTCCGCCTCAGTCACTTACATGCGGTGGAGAAATACCGATCAGAGGTACGAACAACTCATCTACTCGCTCGCTCTCTACGCGCGTGCGAGGTCGGTCACCGTTTATCCAACCGCGCGTCCGTGCGAGTGTCAATGAGTGTTTGTTGCCAAGTCTTGGTTGTGCGTGTGGGAAAGTATTTCCTTGTGTATGTTCATCCGTGTCTATAGTGTGTAAGTTGAGAGGTTCGTAGTTTTTCAGTGGATAGCTCTACTTTAAAAATGGGCAAAAGGAGAGATGGAATCCTTTGAAGGCAGTTTAATTTTCCCAACGTCTGCACCTCCGAACGAACGAACAAGAACACACCTCCTTCCCGGAAACACCAAACACTTCCTGGTTTCCTTAACCAATCAGATAACATCAACATCAACTTTTTTTAAGCAATTATTAAACGGAATATAACCTAGGTAACTGTAACACAAAACATAATGCTCAAATATAAAATGAAAATAATTAATAATTGAACATAAGCTTACAAGTGTTTTGGTGACTCTGCTGGTGTGTGTGTGTGTGTGTGTGTGTGTGTGTGTGTGTGTGTGTGTGTGTGTGTGTGTGTGTGTGTCTATGTCCATGCTGGGCCATATTTGTGTGTATCTGTATCTGGATGTGTGTGTCCGAGTGTGTCTATTGACCTCCGAAGGTTTCATTGATAGAAGAGACGTCTGCTGTGTTTCTGCGCCGAACAAATTGTTAAATAATAATGTTGTTGTTTTTTGTTTTTTTTTTTCCACCCTGATTTTGGTGTTCTTGTGTTTAGCATGGAGGGAAATCCGGTGGATCACAATGGCGAGCGCTCAGGTTCAATCAAGGATGACGGCTGTGTCATCATCGGAGGGATCGAACTAGGGTGCAGAAAGTCTTCATTGGCGGTTGATCCCAAACATGGTTTGTGCGTTATTTGTGATTAGATTCTTCAAACTAAGCACAAAATCTGGCTCTTTTTTGGATGAGGGGGGGGACTAAATATGATCCAGATCTACATTTGGTATTTGAAGCAGTTATGTTCTGGCTTGGCCTTTGCAGAAACCTTCACTCTCGATGAGGCGTTGGATGCTCTCGGCTTTGGGAGGTTCCAGTTGAAATTGCTATTCATCACTGGCTTTTCCTGGGTAAGAAATCTCTTGATACCTCCATCCATTTAAAAAAAAATTTTTGATCATCCGTATTTTGGTTGCGGGGGAACTGGAGCCTAGTTGAACTGACATTTAGCGAGGGCTGGAGGGCTCACGTAAACAAGCATTGCGTCTGAAATTTCAGGTGGCAGATGCCATGGAGATGATGATCCTCAGCATCCTTGGCCCGCAGCTGCACTGCGAGTGGTTCTTGGAAGGCTACAAAGTGGCTCTCATAACCTCGGTAAGGGTGCCGTTTTGGGTTTTGTTTTTGTTTTTTGTCTTTTTGTCCTCAATGGAAGAAATAACTTCAAATGCATTATTTGCAATGTACTGAAACATAAAGCTGACGCACCAGAATGAAAAAGTTCAGTGTTACGTTAATCTTAAATCTTTTCACCCAGTCAGCCTTGCTTATATTTTTAATTTTTTTGCAGTTCTATTGAAGAGCAGCCGAGTTCCATTGCTAGTAACGTTTATTCATAAGACACAAAATTTACTCCGCCAGTGAGCTGAAACACAAGTCATGTTAAAAAATTTTCATGTAAAGAATTAAGATACCTCTTCATCATATGATAATTTTCACCTTTTAACGAGATAACAAAAATACCACCTGAAACTTAGCACAAGGTCAGAATTATCATGTGACGATAGTCATGTTTGATCACGGCGAAACGTGGAGCTCATTACGCTAACATGAAACTTAGCACACTGAAATGTGAAAGTTATGACACTTAAACACAAAACGTTTGATCAGAAAAGAAAATTAGAATGTTACAAACGTGAAAATTGTTCTCAGGGTAAAATGTGAAAATTAACACACATCAAATTATAACACCTTAAACATATCATTTAGACGTTTTCTGATGATAAGGAAATACGCGTTAAATTATCAAGTTTAAATGTGAAATCCAGCACGTTTAAATGTAAAACCCATCACGACTAAACGAAAAAACTGTTCCACTTAAAACGCTAAAATGTGAAACTTATCGGGCCGAAACGTTGGACAAACATCACGCTTGGACTTGAAAAATGATGATGTTTGGGCGTGAAAAGCATCGCACCAAAATGTCACACTTATCACACTGACATGCGAAAATTATCATGTTAAAACATGAACATGCTAATCATGTTAACACACGGAAATTATCGCCTCGTTAAAACATAACGTCTACAACGTTCACCCATGAAAATGATGACATTTATCACCTTTTGAATGTGACGTTGAGCTTATTGTTTTCTGGCATGGCAGCAAGACACTCACGTAGCCATATACATGTCAACGTAGGCGTTAAATAGGAATTGTGCCGTATTTCCAGCCTTATTTTTATCTCCCCTCCCCCGAGGTGGTGTTTGCCGGGATGAGCTTCAGTTCGTCACTATGGGGCAACTTGTCGGACAAGTACGGGAGGAAAAAGGTCAGCACAGTTTCGCTTTTACCATTTCTCAAGCCATGCAGTGATGCTGTCGCACTACTAACCGGTATCTCGTTATTTTTTTTGTTTGTTTGTTTGGTTTGTTTGTTCTTTGTCTTGTCTCTGTGAATGTCAAAGTAGGGCCTGACCATTTGTATGTGCTGGACTTTTTACTACAGCATGTTGAGCGCCCTGGCTCCAAATTTTTTTTGGATGTTGCTGCTGCGAGGCATGGTGGGCATAGGCATTGGAGGAGCTCATCAATCGTGAGATCTGTTTTTGTTGTTTGGTTTTTGTTTTCCATTTCGAGCTGGGCGATGAATCTGTTTGAACGATTAAATCAAGTTTAGAGCTTTTTTTTTTCTTTTTTTTTTAATCCTGGAGGAAGGTAGTTTAATTTTCTACCTTCTGTTATTTTCAAAAGCAGGATTGTTTCTTCTTTGGCTTTTATCTACGTGCAGCTTGGTAAACATGGTGCCCTCTAGTGTTCACATTGAAACGTGACGTCATGGAAGTACCTTGCGCTACCGTGAAGGTTGGTTGATATTCGAGACAGTGTTGTATTTACTATGTGTGTGAAACTGGTCATGTTTAAGAAAAGTTTGTTTTTGAAGAATATTGTTTGCATGGCAACATATTTTCAGCATTATTACACGACATAACAGCATTAACAGATCATTTTTATATATATATATATTTTTTAATTGAAAGAGCGAGAGAGAGAATGAATGTATCTAGTCTATTTGCATTCAAGGCAACATTTAGTCATATGCCTGGGGTAGTATAGATGTGTGTCGAGAAACAGATAGTGTTTTAGGGCGGCATGGTGGTCAACTGATTAGCACGTCGGCCTCACAGTCCAGAGGCGCGGGGTTCGATTCTGGCTCCGACCTTCCTGTGTGGAATTTGCATGTTCTCCCCGTGCTTGGGTGGGTTTTCTCCAGGTCCTCCGGTTTCCTCCCGCATACCAAAAAACATGCATGGCAGGTTAATGGAACACTCTAAATTGTTCCTAAGTGTGATTGTGAGCACGAATGGTTGTTTGTGTCTGTGTGCCCTGCAATTAGCTGGCAACTGGTTCAGGGTGCCCCCGCCTACTGCCCGAAGATAGGTTGGGATAGGCTCCCCGCGACCCTTGTGAGGATAAGCAGATTAGAAAATGGATGGATGGATATCGTGTTTGGTATCAGGAGAAATTCAATTCAGCAAATGGCAGCAGAGGAAAAAAAAAAGCAAAACTTCATACTCGTTTTCCGTTGCCTTTTCAATATACGAATGGGAAAATGTCAATACAAATCCCAAATCAGACTTTTATGAAAAATATCAGTTTGCTGATTATTAACCTAACGTGATATGACCATTTGCTCACTTGCAGCCTGACCCTCTACTCGGAATTCGTTCCACGCAAGTCGAGGGGGTTCTCCATCGTCCTGATGGCGGTTGTTACACGTGCATCACTTTCACTGTACAATGCAAATGATAAGGTCACATTTTTGGTCAAATTTTTGCCTTCAAGCTTTGCCGGGACTTTGTGACCTCTTGCAAATCCATCCGATTACTCAATGGAATAAATTATTCAGTTTTTTTTTTTTTTGGTATATTTCAGGTATTTTGGACTGTCGGCGTGGTGTTCGAAGTCCTCCTGGCCGTGTTGGTTATGCCCACCCTCGGCTGGCGATGGCTAGTAGGCATGTCCGCCATACCATTGGGCATCTTTCTCTGCTTTTGCTTGGTAAGGTTGTTGGCAGTGGCAGAGTCAACTTTCTTTAACAAACTTGGTCAAGACCACCATCCGGGCAAAGAGAAAAATGAAATAAATTTCGAGAAGGGACCTCCTTCATGTAATGAAGATCCGTCGACTGAAGCCTCTGGGGAAGGGGGTTTGCTCAGGACCTGTCTCGGTCGGCAGAATCGTCCACAGCAACAGCTTTGTTCATTGCGACCTCGCGCCTTCTGCGAGCGAGGGTGGGTGAGGAGAAGCGGTTGTAAAACAGGCTAAAATCCAGACGTCGGGTGCAATAAAGTTGTTGCATGCAAAGTGTGGTTTAACCAAATACAAGAAAGTTCGAACATTGCTCCAGAGGGAACAATTTTGCTCAACTCGAATGAGGACAAGTACTTAGTCGCACTTCCGTGCCTTTCTATGAGTCCTCCAGTCCCTCTCTATATGTATTGATATGAACAACTATTGATCAAGATGTCCATTTTAAATGAAATTGAAATCAAAAATGTAATCAGCCAGAAAAAATCAATTCATTTGAAATGTCTTTTTTTTTTTAAATAACCTTATTTGTTTGTTTTTTGTCTGCAGTGTCTGCCCGAGAGTCCTCGTGTCAACCTGCTGAACGGCAACAGTGCCAAAGTCATGGCGTTGTTAGCAAGCATCGCGAAAGACAACGGCAAAACCTTACCTCACGGAAGGATCCTCTGCAACATACAGGTGGCGCCATCCGTCTTTCCACCACAAAGATGTCGTTTGACGCTTTTGCGACTGACGTTTTTCTTCTGATTTTAATGCAGCGAAATCGCCGCGGGCGTCTCCGGGATCTTTTTACACGACAGTATTACAAAACCACGCTTCTCCTCTGGTTCATTTGGTTAGCTCGACAAACATTCCTCACCTCCTGTTTTCTGGTATCTCAGGACTAGTTTGGTGTTGTGTGGAAAGTCTTAAATTCATGATTTGATGTTGCCTCAAGGTTTTCATTTGCCTTTACTTATTATGGAATCATCCTTCTGACCACTGAGCTGTTCCAAGCTGGACATTCGTGTGGGGGTAAGTGGCATCGTTTTGCCTGTTTGTCACTTTTCTCCATCCTGGATAATCAACAAAACCCTAATATAAATGACAGTCACCCAGGGGGCCAAAATTGAACCGGGGTGTAGTCTGGAATGCAAATTACTGACATCAGACGACTACAGAGACTTGTTATGGACCACCTTGGCTGAATTTCCAGGTGAAATATTGCCTATTAACTGTGTTGGATGCAAAAGACCCGTAAAATTCCAGTATGATTTTTGTATGTCTGCGTTTTGTATGATTTTTTTTTTTTTTTTTCCATCAAAATGTTGGTCGTTCATCCGAAGAATGTGCTAAGTTGTGTACAAAGGCTTCATGGGTGTATTTAATTTTCAGTGTGCCACCCAGAATAAATCGAGAATTATTTAGCGCCAAATTTTTATTGGGTTTTGAGGTGATAACTGTTGCTAAGTCAACATTCAACATATCCTCAAGGCTACTTGCAGTTGAACAAGAATATGACGACGTATTGTTGCGAGTAAGGTTGGTTGACGGTGTGTGTTTTTCTTGCAGGCCTGGTGGTGGTTCTGGGTACGGTGGACTGTCTGGGCAGGAAAAAAAGCATGGCCTTGCCCCTCTTCATCTTCACTCTGAGCCTTCTGCCCTTGTACGCCTGTATTGGGAGGTAATGCCCACGTGTGTGCGTGTAATTTGCATGTCAAAATGAACTAAACATGAATGGATACATTTTAATGACCACATTTTATGGGGGGGGGGGGGAGTAAACAAATGAATGCAACTATGATCACAGGACTCTTGATGATGTATATTAAATGCTCGCCAGACCAGATTAAAGAAGGGCCTACATGGCCACAGTTATTAATCACTGACATGTTATTGAGACACCTGGGATGGGTTTAAAATGATGTCGCAGGAGGGGGCACATGCGCAAAACGTCTCCTTTAACTTTGTGTGCCTTTCCTCTCGCAGGACGGCGCTCACCATTTTCATCTTCATCGGCAGAGCCTTCATCTCGGGGGGATTCCAAGTTGTTTATGTGTACACGCCAGAGGTATGACAGTGTTTTTATGAACTAGAAATCTGTTGAAAGGCGTCGGGTCAAAGTCTCCGCTGTGCTTCGTCAGGTCTTTCCGACCGAGACCAGGGCCTTGGCCATTGGCACCTGCAGCGCTATCTCCAAGGTGGGCGCCCTCATCACACCCTTTGTGGCACAGGTAAGCCTCTGTCCAGGGAAAAGTATTTAAAAAATTATAAATATATATTTTTAAATTATATACATACAATATAAATATATAGGTGCATACAAAAAAGAAAAGGTGCCCAGAACGGCGCCATGTTACTTGTTGTTAACATTTCCAGTGTTTTGATCAAAGGTGCTGCTTCGACATTCTGTATCCTTGACGCTGGCCGTGTATTGCTTCTGCTCTTTGCTGGCCGGCTTCATGTGCCTGCTGCTGCCCATCGAGACATCGGGAAGGGCCCTCCAGGAGTCTGAGCGAACGCCCACGCTAGGTTCTGCGAGAAGGCTGAGCTAAAAGTCCCACGGCGGGCATTCAAGCTGTTGCCTGTTGTCAGAGATGGACACTTTGGCAAAGGCGAGGAGTCAAGACGGGTGTCGTTAAGGTGGAAGTGGTTTCATTGGTAGTTTGGAGCACTGTTACATTGCCTTGGGGGGTTTATATCGAGCTTTATCCGTCATGTCCGTTGAGCCCCATAGACACCATGTTGTTGGACTTTGCTGTTTACAGAGTTCGCCGATGTTTCTAAGCATGGAATGGTGGTTCTTAATTGCCTGTAAACCGGACAAGATGGGAGCAAAGCACGTTAGCACATTTTTTCTTTGCAAAAGGGACTGCTTAAATGAAGCGCCTCGCCTCGGTTCAATAAAATGCCACTAGCTGGTGCCAAAGAAAAACTTTATTGAGCTTTGTCTTGAGCACAAAAACTGAAAAACAGGATCGAGGTTCCCCCCCAAAACATCTTTGTGGGTGAATTTGTGAATGCTGAGCTGCAAACGTGCGAGGGTTTTCAGTCATTTTGAAATTGATTGTTCCTTCATTAAACTTCGACTGTAAATATTGTAACATTACATCTTCATTTGGGAGAAAAAAAAACTATTTTCTAAAGATTACTTTTCATTGCAAAATCCGTTCTTGTTTTTCACAGGACATGGACTACTCCCACCAAAAAAAAAAAAGCGTTTTTTTTTTTTTTTTTGTTTTTTTTCGGCCGAATATTTAATTTTGTAACATTCATGTTAAATGGCAGTCAGGACACATCTGCCACTATTTAAAGTGTTTCCAAATAATGTTAAATAAAGTTCAGATGTTCTCAGATTTTCCTGGCCTTTTTTTTTTTATTATTTTAATATCAAAATTCCTGTGCTAACATAACCACTATTAGACTGTGGACTGTAAATTTCCCCAGTGTGGGACAAATGAAGAAAATCTTATCTTATTAGGAAGTGTTCATAAACTCAAATAGCATATTTGTTAAGTTTTTTTGAACAAATTTGACACCTTGTTTAGGTTCCTCTCTTCACTTACATTACACCATTATTTAAATACATCCATGCATTTTTAGACAGAGATCCTCCCAAATTGGCACTTCTTATCTAATATTTTCTTGTCTTCCAAGAATAATGTTTGTTGATAATGTTGCATTTAAAAATACTAGTCATAATAGTCACATGATTATGGTTCTAATTTAAGGGAATGAAGTCATGAAAAAAGACTTGGATTGGGATCGCATTATAATAGCCTTGCAATATAATGTTTTATTATTATATCTAGCATGGTACTAACATGTTTTTTTTCTGTCTTTATACATTGTCTCGTCACTGACGGTTACATTTTTTTAAATTAACACGAATGAAATTTTACATGAAGAAGCAATGTTGCGAGACCCATATTTTAGATTCTTTGAGTTTTTAAAATTATTCATCTCGAAGGTTTCTAGATTGAAATAAAAAAGACTAATTGTTGTCCTGTTGGATATTAGATTTTTGAAATGATATTATTTCAAGCACCATCTTTATTATTTTTTTTTTCCCCCTTCTCCATTTATTTTGCTGGGGTGGTATCTGGTCCGAGTCTGTCCAGTCACCTTGACAACATTGGCCCAATGACAGCGCACACGCGAACTAGGCCAGCCAATCAGAAGCGGCCCCCACAAAGCTGCGCATCGCGCGCACATGCACGCACGGGGCACGTATATTCTGTTTGTCTTTCGCCATCCATGCGCACGCGAGTGACATGAGGAGCGTCACTATCATGCTTGTGTTCCTTGTCCGAGTTGTGCAGGGAGCGCTGGTTGAGCAGCAGCCCCCCCAGGAGCCGGGTCGCCCGGCCTGACTCGGCGTTTTCTCCCCGGTGACAGCGGAGGCCAACTCGGCGCATCTTCCCACATCCTCCTCCTCCTCTTCGCCTCCCTCCCGCCATGGCCTTGGTGACTCTGCATCGCTGCCCCAGCCCGAGTGCAGCATCCTCGGCCAGCAGTGCGGTGGAGGTACGGAGACATACATGGAACTAAAATAAATGTGATTTCATAAATAAGGCGTGGGCCGGTGGGGAGGGAAGAGTCGAGGCAGTCGCTTTGGCTTGAGTCAGCACAGCAACAAAGTCCTCATTTGGTCACTTTATGAGGTACACTTGTCCGTACAAAAGCGACGAGGATCAGTTTTGTTTTTTGCTGAAAGGTGTTCCTTATATTTGGGCTTATGCAGAGGGCCAGAATTTTAGGAACACCTCTCATTTGGTCACTTTATGAGGTACACTTGTCCGTATAAAAGCGACGAGGATCACTTTTGTTTATCTGAAAGGTGTTCCTTATATTTAGGCTCATGCAGGGGGCCAAAATTTTAGGAACACCCCTCACAAAATCATGTCCATGGGTTTGAATGTGAGTGAGTGAATGTTTGGTTTGTTCAGCCTTCGAGCAGCAGAGGGCAGCATATCCCCACAAAGGCCTTGCTCAAGTGGCTACTGTAACTTGCTTTGAGCATGAAACATTTTTTTTTCTGCTATTTTACCTCCCACCAGGGTTTTTTTAACCTCTTTTGTTTATGGAAAATGTATATGGAATGTTCCTTTGCGCTTGAAGATTTTTTAGGTTTTTGAAAAAAAAAAAAAGAAACTACACTTACTTTTAAGTGCCGATACTCCCCTTTTTCGACTGTTGCCAGGTAAATTAGGCAGTGGGTAGCTACAAATCATTGTGACTTAATTCATTGCTCAATTAATTATTCATATACTGTCGAGAAGAAGTAAACGATAACAAAAATGCAATTTTTAAAATTCTCAGTTGTAAATGTCCGACTCACTACCACCATGCGGGCCAACTTCAAAATAAAAGGCCCCTGTGGCTGTTGTTTTGGCATCAATGTATAATATTATTTGGAAAAAAAATTATTTTTAAGTTAGCCTTTTCCATGGTAGCGTATTACGTTCTGAGTATGTTTGCAGCTACCCTCGACTGGTCGCCACCTAACTACACCAAAACAATTCGTCACTCAAAATGAATGTCTTTGGTTCGCCTCTTCAGGATTTATCCTCAATGTGATGTATTCAATTTTTCAAAGCTTTGCCTTGTTTTTTTTTTTTTTCTCTTCCAGGACTTTGGAAGCGATGAGGATCGCAAAAATAATCAATGGTGAGTTTGTCCTCTTTTTGATGTACGTATGATTTTTGATGGTGTCTCCCACTTCTCTCGCATTAAGTCATTTTTGCTTAATGGAAGACTCTGCATCGTCTTGAAATGTGAATGCTTTTTTTGTCTCTCCGTGTATTTTTGTCCTGGAAATGACTGCAACCAGTTCAGGCTTGTACCCCGCTTCTCTCACCAAAAGACTCTAAGTCTGTCGTCTGTGGAAATGGAAGTGTAAATGCTCATTTGTCTCATGTACCCTGCGTACATGGAAATATTTTTTTAGAAGCTAAATGTGCACTTGTCTACCTTTCTGTTACTCTTCCAGTACCTGTGTGTCATGACAATCTATGTTGTGGCATGACCAATCCTGTCTTGTGTGTCGTTGTCAGCCTCAGCGAGAGCTTCTTAATGGTGAAGGGAGCCGCCCTCTTCCTCCAGCAGGGCAGCAGCACAGAGCCACCCGACATGCCGACCCAGCACAAACACGCAGGTTTGCGCAAACTTACAACAACAAAAAAACTGGGGAAAATCAAATCAAGTCCATATTGGCAACGTGTTTGTATTTTCTTTTACAGGCGACTTGCCTCAACACCTGCAGGTCATGTTTAAGATACTCCGCTCGGAAGATCGCATTAAGCTGGTACATATTTTATTTTTATTAAATTTTCATAAAGCTTTTGAAAAACAAGTGTGAATCGTAATGCTAATGAAAAAGATGGTTGCAGTCAGTCAAGTTTGTTTGGTCTTTTATGACATTATATCTTAGTTTTTGTATTATTAGATTATAATATGTAGTTTGGCTATCAACGTGTAATTTATTTATCAAACCGATACTGGTACGAGAACTCAACTCTTCAGTACTGTGTGATATTAAGTAACCGATACCACTTGTACTCTCGATGCATAAAATTCCTTTTGAACTAATGTCAGATAATTTTCATGAAAGACATTTTGTTTATTTCTGGGAAAAGGTAGAGCAGTCACTCTGCAAAAGAGAATTAAGTTCACAATGGGTGAATTTTTTTATTGCCTATATCCAATGCAGCAAATATGCAGTCTTTCATAATACTTTTAATGTATTGATGTTAAATGATGTAAATAATTGACTATTACCAAAATTATATATTTTAAGCAATTCTAAGTATCTTATGTCTGTCGTTAACCAAATCCTGAAATGACTTCCTGGTGTTTGTCAGGCGGTGAGACTGGAAAGCGGCTGGTCGGAGCGTGTGCGATACATGCTGGTGGTGTATACAAGCGGCCATCAGGGCACGGAGGAGAACGTCATCCTCGGAGTGGATTTGGCCCACCAAGACAGGTTGACCGTCTCTACTATAAGCGTGTCATCCAATTCTTACTTTTTTTTTTTTTTTTTTTTTTTTAATCATGGCCATGCCCCTCTCGAAAAAGCTGCTCCATCGGGATGGTGCTGCCACTGTGGAGCGATACCAACATACACTTGGATGGAGACGGGTAAGATGAGCTTTATACTTACAACTAGGCTGAACCTGGTTTTGTTATTTCCGGGGGTTTTTTTGGTCTTTTTTTTTTTTATATATATATATATTCTCAAAACCTTGAATGGGAATTTTACTGACTTCCAGTGGCGAAGCAATGAATAACCACTATTATTCTTTTTATTTTTTGGGAGGGGTGGGGGGCGGGGGCGTGAGAGGAGTTGTTGACGTGGTCACATTGTGTTTGTGTGTACAGGTTAATTTTACTGACCTCCAGTGGTGACGCAGTGAATTACAACTATTATTATTTTGATTTTTTTTTTTTGGAGTTGTTGTTGACGTCGTCACATTGTGTTTGTGTCTACCATTAACCTGCTAACATTGTGTGCGCGTAAAAAGCTGTAGGAAAGTTCCACGGGTCCTAAACGTTCACACCAACCAGCCCCCCCCATGCAACTACATTGTGTGGTCATGTTTGTGTGTACGTCCCACAACTGTTCTCCTTGTCATCTTTTTCTTCTTATACTTTATCTTGTTCTTCATGATGTTTTTCCATCTTGCAGAGGCTTCAGCGTGAAGACGGCGGGGCGCTCTCATGCCTTCAAGCCCGTGTCTGTGCAGGCCATGTGGTGAGTTGTCTTCGAAAATTCACAGCACAGGTGCCATAAGTATCGATACTTGGTCCAATTGCAATTCATCCTTATATGCTGTATGATTAGATAGATATCTACATTCCTATTTATAAAATAACGTTTTTTACCCCTGCATTGGATGCTATATCCAATATATTTCCTGACTTTGGGATCGATCTTCTGTCCATCCCACCTTACAGTATATTATTCAATTGATATATCAATCTCAGGTTATTGTTGCCCCCTGTGCTGCTTAGGTTCGCCCTTCAGGTGGTGCACAAGGCGTGCGAGGTGTCTCGCCGCTTCAGCTACTTCCCCGGCGGCCCGTCCTTCGCATGGATGCCGTTCTACGAAAGCCGCATGTCGTCCGAGCAGAGCTGCGTCAACGAGTGGAACGCCATGACAGACCTGGAGAGCACTCGCCCCGACTCCCCTGCCATCTTTGGGGACCAGTGAGTCCAAAGTCTTTTGTCTTCTGCGTATGGGCATACGTCGACATATGACTTACTTATTAGCACAGGCGGGAGAATCGGGTCACATGATTTTCTGATGTGTCCCCTCCTGCAGGCCAACTGAAAGGGAGCGAACGGAGAGTCTGATTAAAGCCAAGCTACGTGGCATCATGATGTTCCAAGACTTGGAGAATATCACTTCCAAGGAGGCATGTCCCACCAAGAGGCCATCACGCTTCATACAATTACTACAACTTTTTGTTTGTTTGTTTGTTTGTTTGCCGGGGCCAGATCCGCAACGAGCTGGAGCAACACATGAGCTGCAACCTGAAAAAATTTAAGGAATTCATCGACAACGAAATGCTGCTCATCCTGGGTCAGATGGACAAGGCCACGCCCATCTTTGACCACGTCTACTTGGTGAGCCACCACCGACTTTATACTAATTCAGCCTACCGTGACATGACAGTAACCCGACTGCAACACGATACACACAAACTGTCAAGGATTTAAATGACAATATTTCTCGTCCTGTAGGGCTCGGAATGGAACGCTTCCAACCTAGAGGAACTTCGTGATTGTGGGTGAGATGAGTCATATCAGTATGCCAAAGAATGCTTCCCAATAGGCTGATCACGCCAAATTTGGTCATGGCAATCGAAAATGAACTTGAGCGAAATTTCATGTTTTCAAGGACGATTGTACAGGGTTTTAAAATGCAGCATGTTTACAAGAAAAAATACTTTTTACTCTAAAATCCAATGCAACCAAATGTGCGGAATCAAGAGTGAAAGCGGCTTAACACTTCCACAGAATAAAAGAGAAGATTGAATTTTTGGCTTGTTGTTTTTCAGCGTCGGCTACATCCTGAACGTGACGAGAGAGGTTGACAACTTTTTCCCGGGCATCTTTTCCTATCACAACGTACGCGTTTACGACGAGGACGCCAGCGACCTGCTGGCCCATTGGAACGACACCTACAACTTTATTGTCAAAGCCAGGTGACGCCATTTACGATTGGGACTTCATGTTTTTGCACTCGGAGGAATATGCGCTCATCAGACACTTCATTAGGTACTCCACGTAAAAGCCAAATACCCTTTCAGGGGACAGCGGTTACTATAGTGGACAGCTAATCATGTGATCAGGTTACAGGGTGCCTGAAATGGTTACAGCCGATGACAACAGAAAAATCTAAAATGTAAAAAAAAAATTCCAATTTGGGTTGTAAATATAGGTCAGTGTGAGACTCCCGCGCTGATGACGTTCCACGGGATTGTCAGTGTGTTTGTTATTCCTCCCCCGCCCCCACAGGAAGAACAGCTCCAAGTGCCTGGTGCACTGCAAGATGGGCGTCAGCCGCTCGGCCTCCACGGTGATGGCCTACGCCATGAAGGAGTACGGATGGCCCCTGGAGAAAGCTTACAACTTTGTCAAGCAGAAGCGCAGCGTCGCTCAACCCAACGCCGGATTCATGAGGCAGCTGGCGGAATACCAGGGCATCTTGGATGCCAGGTAACGCACATACAATCACGCACTGGATGCGTTCCAGACCCCTGCGCTATAGGGGAAAATTTGCGCTAAAGAGCAACCATATATATATTTTTAAAAAAAGTTTCAAGCAAAACATAGAAACAAACATCCGCTTGCATACTGCTAACATTGCAATACGAAATGCCACAGGCGGCTAACGGTGTCACAGCAATAGAGGGCTCCGTCCTTTTAGCAATGACCCACAATGCACTACCGGCGGCCATATTGGAGGGCTGTTATAATCAAGTCATACACGAAGTCTATTCGTGTATGGCTTTTTCACATCTGCTAGCGTACGGCTAACATTGTAATGCGAAATGCCACAGGAGGCTAACGGTGTCACAGCAATTCCACATCTGCTAGCGTACTGCTGACATTTTAATGCGAAACGCCATAGGCGGCTAACGGTGCGACAGCAATTCCAATTTATCAAACAACTACTAGAGCACACAAAAAAAAAATTCTACCTCGTGACACGCATCATCATCGCTCAAGATAATCTTTACAGGCATCCCCTATTCTGACCTTTGCTAATTCTGAACAGAAGGAAGGAAAATGCTTAAATGTGTCCTGTTTTAGGTATGCGTGTAGTTGATTCTCAATTATCCGTGTCGATCCACTTCCACGCCCTTTTTTTTTAAAAAAAGCAACCAGCATTACAACAAGCTGTGGAGACCCGGCGTGGATGAGGAAGTCTCGGACGATTTGCCAGCCTCAAGCGAGTGCTCGGAGCGCAATGAGGACAAAGAGGAGGCCTGGGGGGTCTGCGGGGCGTCTCCCTGCCTGGGTTTGGAGATGGAGCCCCTGGACTCTCTCAACTACAACTACTACTTTCGACGGTTGTCTGACTCGGCGCTGGACAGCGAGCCCTCCACGCCAGTACGAGGGCCCCCCCTGCTGGGCATGGAGAGGGTCTTCATCGAGATTGAGGACGTGGAGCGGGACGCCCTCCTGGAGGACGAGGGCTTCCCCGTGGCCCACCTGGCGTTGCCAAGTGGCGGCGGCGGCAGTGGGGGGACGGGGGCGCAGAGGCGGCTGTGGTGGGGGGACGGGGGCGCAGACGTGTGGGCGTCTGGACCCCCTGGAGGACATGAGGCTGAGGCTGGAGTTCAGCACACTGGAGGAGGAAGACGAGGAGGAAGCCAAGAAGGAGGAGGCCGAGATGGCCGCCTTGGAGGGGAAGAAGCACGCGGAGGAAAGCCGTCTCGGTCTGGCCAACTTGAACACCAACAACAGCAACCGGCTGGCCGCCAAGCGGAGCTGCCCGGCTGCGTTTGACGTGAGTAGAGTAGAATCGCGAAAACCATGAATCATTGACACCCACCCTATGAGGGGTTTGTAATTGTCGGATGCCATAAGATGGCGGCCAAGCACTTAAAAACAAGATGATCATAAAGCATCAACACCATCAACATCTTCCTTTCATAACTTTGCTGCTGTGAATTGGGAATTTCTCCATTGCGAGACTAATAAAGGTTTTCTTATCTTATCTTATGTATCTAGCATGTGCAGTCGTGAACCAATGTTATATAAGCGACTATTCAGTAGTCAAATCACTACACACAAAGAAACCATCGCTCAGCAATGGTGTTAGCTAGCACCTTAGCCTAAATGATCCATTAGCACAAGCTGACGTGACATCACACATGTTCCAACTTGAGGAACACCAAGGGTGACGATTGGGACTTTTTGGTGGGGCAAAAGGTTTTGGGATTGCCATAGACGGCCCACAAAGGTCTTCGTCACCGCGATTACACAAGAAACCAGCAAAGTGATACTTTGCTTTGAGCATGAAACATTTTTTTTTCTGCTATTTTACCTCCCACCAGGGTTTTTTTAACCTCTTTTGTTTATGGAAAATGTATATGGAATGTTCCTTTGCGCTTGAAGATTTTTTAGGTTTTTGAAAAAAAAAAAAAGAAACTACACTTACTTTTAAGTGCCGATACTCCCCTTTTTCGACTGTTGCCAGGTAAATTAGGCAGTGGGTAGCTACAAATCATTGTGACTTAATTCATTGCTCAATTAATTATTCATATACTGTCGAGAAGAAGTAAACGATAACAAAAATGCAATTTTTAAAATTCTCAGTTGTAAATGTCCGACTCACTACCACCATGCGGGCCAACTTCAAAATAAAAGGCCCCTGTGGCTGTTGTTTTGGCATCAATGTATAATATTATTTGGAAAAAAAATTATTTTTAACACCAAAACAATTCGTCACTCAAAATGAATGTCTTTGGTTCGCCTCTTCAGGATTTATCCTCAATGTGATGTATTCAATTTTTCAAAGCTTTGCCTTGTTTTTTTTTTTTTTCTCTTCCAGGACTTTGGAAGCGATGAGGATCGCAAAAATAATCAATGGTGAGTTTGTCCTCTTTTTGATGTACGTATGATTTTTGATGGTGTCTCCCACTTCTCTCGCATTAAGTCATTTTTGCTTAATGGAAGACTCTGCATCGTCTTGAAATGTGAATGCTTTTTTTGTCTCTCCGTGTATTTTTGTCCTGGAAATGACTGCAACCAGTTCAGGCTTGTACCCCGCTTCTCTCACCAAAAGACTCTAAGTCTGTCGTCTGTGGAAATGGAAGTGTAAATGCTCATTTGTCTCATGTACCCTGCGTACATGGAAATATTTTTTTAGAAGCTAAATGTGCACTTGTCTACCTTTCTGTTACTCTTCCAGTACCTGTGTGTCATGACAATCTATGTTGTGGCATGACCAATCCTGTCTTGTGTGTCGTTGTCAGCCTCAGCGAGAACTTCTTAATGGTGAAGGGAGCCGCCCTCTTCCTCCAGCAGGGCAGCAGCACAGAGCCACCCGACATGCCGACCCAGCACAAACACGCAGGTTTGCGCAAACTTACAACAACAAAAAAACTGGGGAAAATCAAATCAAGTCCATATTGGCAACGTGTTTGTGTTTTCTTTTACAGGCGACTTGCCTCAACACCTGCAGGTCATGTTTAAGATACTCCGCTCGGAAGATCGCATTAAGCTGGTACATATTTTATTTTTATTAAATTTTCATAAAGCTTTTGAAAAACAAGTGTGAATCGTAATGCTAATGAAAAAGATGGTTGCAGTCAGTCAAGTTTGTTTTGGTCTTTTATGACATTTTATCTAATTTTTTGTATTATTAGATTATAATATGTATTTTGGCTATCAACGTGTAATTTATTTATCAGACCGATACTGGTACGAGAACTTAACTCTTCAGTACTGTGTGATATTAAGTAACCGATACCACTTGTACTCTCGATGCATAAAATTCCTTTTGAACTAATGTCAGATAATTTTCATGAAAGACATTTTGTTTATTTCTGGGAAAAGGGAGAGCAGTCACTCTGCAAAAGAGAATTAAGTTCACAATGGGTGAATTTTTTATTGCCTATATCCAATGCAGCAAATATGCAGTCT